ATCCCCCGTTGCGCGGAGTGAGGTTTCTCGACCCCGCACAACATGATCTACTCGACCACCATTATGGTTACCGCCAAAAAAAAAAACGAGGTAAAAAAACACCCCGGTAACCTGGTTGCCGAGTTCACGAAGTGAATTGGCTTGTTTTACAACGTCGTTGCCAAGCGACGAAAACCCCAACCCCGATGACAAACACCCGGGGGGGGGGGGGGTAAGGGGGACTCCGTGCTTTCCTGTTTCGCAAAATTTATTTTTAGCAAATATACGTACAATGAAAGAGAGACTACCCGTTCGAGGTATTAACACCGTCCAAGGGATGGTTGAAGTCGACGTATTGAGGAATAATAAAAACACACACAGAAAGACTACCCATTCGAGATATATCCACAGTCGAACGGGATGTGGTGGAGTCTTTTCAGTGAGTGGAGGGAAACCGGCTGGGTACTGGACTTATTTCGAGTCTTTTTAAGTCTATACACTGATGATTTATACCAGTGATGCCAGCTGGTGCTAAGAACAAAAACATCTGTATAGGTAACTTTGTACTGCTGTGCGTTCTTGACCTTTGTCATGTGGGTCTTGCAGCTTGTCGGGATATATATCATGGGACGGACAAGACGTGCGGGCGTCGGTACCGGGGAGAGATACGTTTCCCCTCTTCCGGGTGGAGACTTGAGAGAGGGGACACAGCAATGGTGGTGACGTTGTTTTGTGTTGGGGAATGGTCTTCAACGACCACCGAAAGGGAGGAGGCTTCGGAGGGCTTGTGCCCTAAGTTCAGTTCAAAACTTTTCCTCCCCGTCGCCGACGTCATGTATGCAAATACTTTTAGGCATATACTTCACACTTTTTTTCTGATCTAAAAAATGTTGGAGGACATGTGACGCGTCGCCTGATCTCTGCACCCGTTCCTGTTTGCGCCCGTTTGGTATCCCCCCGCTGTTGTGCGGCTATCGCGTGTGTCTTTATTTTGCCAACGAACGATGGACACGGCCACCACCACCACTTCCAACGCCTCGTTTTGCCAACGCCGCCACACGATCAACCGCATCGATCAACGGCCATCCATTCAACGGCCATCGAACTGGGACACGGCGGTGCTTTGCAGCGAGGACATGTACGCGCATGATTCCATCCAGCTGTTGAAGAACTCGGGGATCGACTTTCAGGTTTGCCCTGTGAAAAGAGTCATGTGTGCCTTTGGCGTCACCGTCGTTGTTGATGTTTTTTGGGCTCTCGCCGTTGCCGCTGCTGTTGGCTATTCTTTACGGAGTAATTTTTTTCTTGGCCGTTACTAATGGTGGATTGCGGGTATGTCGTGCCAGTTTTTGTGTCGACACCCTTGCTACTTTATTTTGTCGACGAGTAGCCCCATGAGGTTGTCATACATCTCTTTGTGGTAACTTGGCAAGGCTCTCAGCAGTGTTCAGCGTTCCCCACATCCGTTATGTCTCCATCGCTAGTAGGGCTTCTGCTCCATTTCCAAAAGAATGGATAGCCAGTGGTAAAAACATCAACGCCTAACAATGAACCCCCCCGTCGCCGTCGCCGTCCTCTCGAGGACGCGTGGCCAATGGTCTAGCAACCATGACGCAAACATGAGTAGGCCTCCCCCCGCCGCCGTCACCAAGAGCGGACGATAAATCGAACCCCGCCCTAAACACTTCGGTGAACGGTGTGTTGCCCGACATTTTGGGGTCCTGCAGGGGCACGAGCGCAGGGGGATTGACCTGCAGGACTTCGGGGAGCTTTTGATGACGTCCGGCCTGGTGCTTCTGCCCAACGTAACCTGGCTCAGCTTCCACTCGGGGTACGACTTTGGCTACCTCATCAAGCTGCTCACTTGCAGCAATCTTCCCACACAGGTGCGTTGGCCTAAAGTTTGCGGGAGCGGGGGTTGGCTCCAGCAGTGGTAGTAGCATGTCTTGGGCACGTCTACGTCTGTCTTCGGTGGTGTGGTTTTGCTTGGCATGAATGAATGCCTTTTGGCGGTAGACGGGGGCAGAGGGGAAGCGGGGTTGAGACCGCTCAGGAGGAAACAAAGTCCAGGGAAATTTCCGTCTTGACGTCGCGGTTGTGCTTTCTCTGGAAACCCCCTTTGTGTACCATGGGATGTTGAGGCGCGCAGTTCGGCTTCTTGTATTTGTGTAGCGGTTACATATATATATATATATATTGGTCCTTGATCGAAAGGGACGTGAACATAAGAACGGCGTTTCGCTCGTCGCACTCCCGCGCTTGCTGCTGTGTATCAAGCAATGTACCAGGTAGTATGCGCGCTTCATGCGGCCGTGTACGGCAGCCATTCCCGGTGCACTGCTGTGCTGTTGTTTGGTAGCATTGTGTATGGATGGTACGCGCGTCCGGCGCTCGCTCTCTTTTTCTAGGACTTTCGCGGGTGACGTTCGGGAGGTTCTGTTTGTTTGTTTTTTCTTGTCGAGACGCTGGGCATGCTATGGCAAGACGTACGCATAGGACAGGAATTTGGCAGCCAACAACAAGGACCACTTTTTTTTTTTGCTCCAACCACAACGGAAGGACCCGTGTCTCCGCTGCTGCTTTGCAGGTGAAGGCTTGCACCAATCAAGTCAAAACCAAATCAAAGTACCGCAGGGGTGGGTAGGGGACATCAGGGAGAGGAACTCTTCTGTGTGACCACGGGTTGGAGTACACGGCACAAGTGCTGCGAGCGCTCATTTGAAGTGAAGAAAAATAAAAAATCATGTCAAGTCGAATCGAGTCTACCACCGACCGCAACGACCACTATTTTTCCTTTCTCACCATCGTGTACCTGTGTGTGTGTGTGTGTGTTTGCAGGAGAGTGATTTCTTCGACCTTTTGCAGCTGTACTTCCCCAAGATCTACGACATCAAGTACCTGGTGTCGAGCCAAGACGGCTTTCACGGCGGGCTCAACAAGCTGGCCGACGACCTCAAGGTGACTGACAGACCGCAGGGGTTCCGGGGGTCAGGAGTGTTATGCATATCATCGGAATGTTTTCGAATTTCCCCCCCGCAGAGGGGGAAACAGGCTATCCAATGACCTCAAGATGACTAACAGACCCAAGGGGCTCCGGGGGTCAGGAGTGGTAAGCATATCGTAGGAAACATTTCGAATTTTCCCTCTCGCCCGGGGGGTGAAACAGGCTGGCCAATGACCTTAAGGTGACTGACTGCCAGACCCAAGGAGCTCCGGGGGTTAGAAGTTGTATCGTCGGCAGGTGTGGGGTGTTGAGGTCGGAGTTGCCGGAGGAGGGCGTGGAATTGTGGAAGGTAGCATCATGGGTGGAATAATCGAAGCAGCTGTACCTCCAAAAGCAGGAAGCAGTGTCTGCGAGAGCCGTTCCGGCCATGTATCGCGCTTGTTACCAACACGGCGATGTTTTTTCCCCCCGTGTGTCTCCTCCTTGTGTGTTTTTGTATTAGTGCGATGGGTCATGTGATGTGGATCTTCATGCAACCCCCATGATGATCGGCATTTCCATCAGGAAGCTCACAATGGTCGCCGTGGTGTCGGTTGTTTTCGTTGTTGTCGTATCCGTGATGTTTGTGACGTTCTTGTCCCCCGCTTCTTTTTTTTTTTAAGGTGGAGAGGATCGGGCCCATGCACCAGGCAGGGAGCGACAGTCTTCTCACCGAACAGGTGATGTGTCGCCATTTGTTGTATTGGTTGTCATAGTCATGCTTGCTGTTGTCCTTGTTGCTGTCGCGTCCTGCTGCTTCTGCTGTCACTATCGTTGCTGCACTGGTTTGTTGGTATAGGTCCTGCTCGGGTAGAGGCGGGTATGGTCGTTTTCCTTGCTGCTAGTGCTGCAGGTGTTTTATTTCCGGTGATTTTCCGGGTCTAGAGGCAGCACGAGCCAACGCGCTTCGATACAGACGCTCGAGATAGGGTATGGGTTCAAGACTGGCTTCGGTGGCCGGAGCACCCGTGCTTAAGCCCACAATACGACCCCTTTTGTCAGAATGGAGAGACTCAGGGTTTCGACACGCAAGTAAGATTGCTTGGCACCTCTCTCTCTCTCTCTCTCTCCACTCCCCACCCACCCCCCTCTCTCGCTCTGACACCCGTGCCAAATCTGCTGTGTCTTTGAACAAAACCACGGCGCGTCGCGTCGGCGGCGCCTATCGAACAGGTCTTCCTCAAGGTGGCGGACGTGTACTTCAACGGCGTGGCCAACCTGGACCAAGGGAAGTCTCGCGGAAAATTCGCCGGGCAGCTGTACGGCTACGGCGGCAACCAGACGGGCATTTACAGGTGCGGGACTGCTGTTGTATGGTATGCTATCACACGTGCTTCTCGTGCCCTGTTGGTTGGATTGTGTGTTGTATGGCCTCTTTTCGCCTTTTGCTTACGGGGTTTCGTGGCAATTGTTCATTTCTCACGTACCTGTTCACTCCTTGGGGAATGTTTCTCCTCCCTCAACAGCTGGCCATGTCTAGTTGCCACGGCAGCCCGTCATGTAGCTGCTGCACAACCAGCGGAGGTTTGGTGCGATCGCCCACCGCCCACCGCCCTTTTCGGGGCACAGTCTCCATCGGCTTGCGTGGCATCATCGCATCACATACATGCTCGGAACGCTTTCAAAATCACACGGCGCGGCGGACGCAAGACTGTTCACCCCGTGGTGTTCTTCTGCGCCGTGAAACCACAGGATTGTTGGCAAGCGCTTGCCAAGAGAGGCGGAAGAGGGCGGCAGGCAGGCTGCTAGGTTGATTTTGCTATTTAGTGTCCCGATTCATCTGAGAGCGTGATGTGTCCCCGTAGTCGATGGACAACACGCGACTCCGGCGGGAAGCAAAGCGAGACTCCTCAATTCACCCCCCTTTTCACCTAATCCCCTCCGTCTGGGGGGCACCAATTTCAGGCCGGGAAACAACAACGCCAACAATGCCACCAACGCCAAGCAGAACAACAACAACGGGGGGGCGGGGGGCGCGGCGGCCGGCGGCACCCTGCCGGCGGCCGCAACAACAGCGGCGGCGGAGGC